GCACAATACCTGTGGGTACTTCTGTGGAAAATAGCAATCATTGTATGCAACGATGTCAAGTCACATTGCAAACAGTACCAATGACAGAGGTAGGAGATGACAAGTCAACAATCGTGTTTGCTGATTACGCGTCATGGAGCCGGAGTGCGTCGGCTCGTGTTTGTTTTTGTGGCAATCAGACCGGTTTATTATTCATTTCGTTTTACATAATACTACACAAATCGTCCGTGATGTATGAATAATTATTAGATCGACGGCTACATTCCCGATGGAGATATTTGGTAAAACCCAACTTTTATTGGTCCCTAGGAATGCGGATTCCACTGGCGTCGAACTTTGGCAAGTTTGCCGGAATAGTTTTATTCGTGACAAGGGACGATTTTTTTTTATAAACGAAAGCTCTATGCTTTTTCCTTTGTAATTTGTATGAAGTATTAAGGGAAACCAGTATTAGAAATATTGCTATGTTGTATTAAAGGATGCTATATAAAGTTTTGCAACTGAAAAGCGTTGTTTAGAAGTATTGTAACGGCGACAATCCAAAAGACAGAAAGTATGATTCATAATGCCTTATCCAAAAAAAAATCTGTACTTCGCAAAAACAATAAAAAGTTTATTTGTAATTGGTCACGGGCAAATCATATATACATTGTTTATTTTTAATTGACAATCTGAAAATAAGGGAACACAAATACATTTATATTTCGAAACTAAAATCGAAGTGAATAATTATCTAATTTGAGATTCAGAAATGCAGTTAACAGTTATTTTAATAACGGTTTGAAAGAAAATACTTTTAACCATTCTTTTTACGCATTGCATTGTTTATGCATATCCATTTTTTTACTGTTTTCTAATCAACTTCTTGTCTATTATAAGTATGTCACTAGCCTTCGCGTGTATGATTAGCATATTGGATCAAGTACCTTTTACTATGATTAACATTATGTTTGTTTCTGGGTACTTCCATTATGACCTTTCATTATTGTATAGTCATCAGAATAACAGCTTGCGAAAACTCTCTTAGGAAGTGGCGTCATAATGAAAGTATCTAAATAAAACATTACAAAGAACTTTTAAGTTAAAGAGATATGTTATCTAAAGGCACATTTAAACAACTTAATTACATTGTAATTATAAATTTCGTGTACATTTTACTTTTTTTCTGATTGAAATGTAATTAATTTTTTTTTCCTTGCAGATGGTCCGGTTAGATATCAAGCCTAGAACTTCGTGGTGCACCACCGTATTTTAAGATTTAGAGAATTTATTAACTTTTTAATTGTAAAAGTGGGTAAATATAAGCAGCCATTTAGTGAGGCTAATGCCAATGATTGTAATATAGGGAGGCTATCACATTTTGAGGGTTAACGAACTCTACCGCGATTAATTTTATATTTTCTCGAAAAGTATGCCATAATGAAATGAAAAGAACCCTTGAATTGTGCTAATTACATGTTCGTTTGTTATAATATTTATGACAAAACGAGTGACTGTGTTGTGTTTTTTGTTAATTAAATAGTTTAAAAAAATATTGAATTTTATTTCATCTGATTTCCTCGCTACTTCCGCTTTTCAGTTGCTCCTTTCTATTACAAGATCTCTACGGGATAGTACAAGTTACAAGTTAGGCTGAGTTTACATGTAATGACTAAAGTTAGAAGTTAAATAATAAAAAGACAAATATTGTAAGTTATTTTCCAGTTATTAAATTTCATTGGTATCTAGTTTGGAAAATTTGTACTATGATTCTGAAAAAACACGTTCCACTAGCTCGATTATTACATAAATAAATGTTATTTTGTCACAATTTTTTTGTAATTCTCGAATAATAAAATTAAATAAGCAATTTATATACAATACTAAAAATAAGTATGACGCGTTTTCGTATAAAATCATAATTTAAAATACCTTGCTGACAGAATTTCAAATCACAACGCGGCGTAAAATCCCTCAACAGCCTTGCTATTAATCAGAAAATATTGCTATATCATTAATCTAATACCAACGCCTACTCAATGATTAGGCAAGCCTTTTTGTTAAAAAGTTAAACAGAATAATCTTCACATATCGGTGCATGAAGTAATACCAAAGTTACACAAGAAATCTGCAAGTCATCCTCATTACTAATAAGTCCTTAAAGTCTAAAGTTCGAATTGATTAACAGGTCTCTCATGGTCCATGGCGTGGGACAGCTCAAGGTTCAACTTTGATGCTTATTAGTAACTTAATTATGGTATAAGATTTTTTTTTTGTTCCATGACTGAAATGCCTATACGAAAGCTGATTTTCTATCGTTTCTCTTTTAACATGACAGAGACGGCTGGGATACGATGATATGAGTTTTTGTTTTTGCAAAGCAGATTGCAAATTCATGATATAGGTAATAACGAGGTAGTACAAGTACTTTTCAAGTAGTGAGAGAATTCTGATTGATTTTCGTATAACATATTTTAATTTTTACTTTATGGAGTATAATTAATATCGGGTTATTGTGTTGGATGTTTGGAATAGGAAAAGCGATAATTGGTTTAATCCTTAACTAAATTGGATATCGTAATAAAAGGGAGCTTTGAGTAACATCTTGAAATATGAAAGCGAAATTTTTATATTTTAATTCCACGTTTTCTGCCATTTTTTTTATTACTTATGGTTTACAGTACCGAAGATATCCTTGACTGTAAAGTAAGGATATAGAATACATAGTCATGAAACAAATTATCATCTTAGAGTGAAAACGTTTGTTTAAGTGTGGGAAAACCTGTAAGTCATTAACCCTATATTGATGGCCTTCACATATCGAAGAAAAATGTTCTAAGTCAGAATGAATTGCAGTTTTTAATGTGGCGTAATTTTCTCTTTTAATGCATATTTCTACTACTAACTCTACACTAGGGCTCCTTTAAACCTTATATTTAAATTTTAAAATCTTTTTATAGACAACTTAAGAGCAAAGTGTTACTCAGCTACTGAATTGGTTGAACAAGTTTTAGCCAAAGCCTGTTCTTGATTTTGGAACATGATTTAGTCTGTTTATCGATTTTTTAAAGGAAACTTTTGAAACAGATGATAATGTTGATTGTTTTTGTATAATTTAAATAAGGTTAGGTGAAGAGACTTCCTGCTCACTTATATTCGAATTCTCTATGATAATGTGTTGTTTAACATGTTTTTGGCCGTGAAAACACTCACTTAGTAATAAATTGATAAAGCCAGAGGGATTCGAGAAAATATTTCTTCTGCGGAAGGTGTTTTTTTATTACATTTTTGACGTAGAATATTTATAATACCATTGTATTGTAAAAAAATATAATAATTCTTGTTGATAGCGTCTTAAAATTTCCCGATTTTGAGCATAACGAGACAAGTGCAAGTGACATGGCCGTGAGAGTCTTCACCGCGGTGACATTGCGTGAACAGGGTGACCACACGTGGTTACAAATAGTAATATGATCAAAATACTTTTTGTATGCCAATTTAATAGAATGTCTTTTAAGAGTTTAATAATACGATGTGGATCCTTTTCTACAATAAAAGTTGAAAATTCAATAATACTAATGGTATAAATGCGAAAGTTTAGATGGATGGATGGATGTTTGTTATTGTTTGTAGCCTAAACGGCTCAACCGATGTTGATGAAATAGACATAGGCTACTCATTTTTGTTTTTATTTAATTCCACGCGGACGGAGTCGCAGGCGAAAGCTAGTAATATATATTTGGTAATAAGTTGTAAGAATGATGATGAAAAGTCGCGTACTTCTGGAATGAGAAAGAGAGTAAAGGGACATAAAGTTGAGTTTTTATTAAGTTGGTCTTAAATATTTTTTAAAAGAACAAATTCAAATTATTGATTGGTATTGTAATTGAAAATCAGGAAAAACGGATATTTGGTTACCCTGGCTGAATCTTGTTACTGCGTCAGGTCATTCACCTGCATGACGTAGACTCAATGCTAAGTTCACAAAAGTTCGACGTAAATTAGTAAATATGTATTATATATTTATAGAATTCATGTTAACAAAATCCTGTTAACTTCTTTGCCAATTATTTAGGCTTGTATAACATTAAGATAATTTATAAAATTCGTAAAAGTAACTAATTATTAAAGTAATAGTATAATGTCATCATTTTATTGTTAACAAATATTAACAGTAATAATTAAATAAAATATTAACACTTCAGTTTCTGTTGTTAAAAGGGTCAGTAGAAAGAATTTTAGTAAACGTTAGCGATATTTCTAAACCAATGAAATTTAGGAAGGGAATAAAAAAGACGGCAATGTTTTTCTGCTTCTGATTTAACAATTGTTTATGACAATTATATTTAGAAATTCTTCTTTTCCTTTCATTCTTAGATAACGTGTTAACACGTTCCGAAGAATTGGATGTCCATTTCCTTGGCTTGTACATTTTTGCAAACAAAAGATACGACAGGATGTGTGTTTATGTTTTATAACTAGTTTCGTTCATCTTAGAAAGATTTGTTTAAAGGACAAACGAATAGAATTACGAATAGAATGAAAAGATTAAATAAAGTCTCAAGTTACGATTCTAAACCATCCTTGTGAAGTTAAGTCGTTTGTAGTCATAATTTATGTGTACAGGCATTACGTTTCAAATTCAATCAATGACATAATCAATAATAATACTTTTAGCTATTAACTGCCTTACTCAGTGTTTATGCTCACTAAGGGATAGCCTTATTGTAGTTCTAGTGTGATAAATCGACAAGCAACTAATTTGAAATGCTGAACGATTCCAATTTTGTCATAAATTCCTTCCATTAAAGAGGTATAAAATATTTATAATTTTGAATTTCAAATCACTTATCTCACTTGTAAACAGTATTTATGAATTTAAATAGTCTTAAATTATAGAGCCCTGTTAATGGACATATTGTTTACTTGTATAAAAATGTTTTAAGGCGGGGCAACAAGACTGTAGGATACCGGTAATTTTAAACATTGTATGGCGAATATCGTCGACCTATAAAAGACACGGACGACTCAGTCCCGGACAGTTGACCTGTCTCGGTTTGTGTGCTACGTGTGCTAAAATTTAAAGGTAGATAAATCATTTTTTTACTAGTTTTTTTTTTATCTATTTTGCGACTTTATTAGGTAATAAATTATGATTTTTTTGATATTAAAAAAAATCACATTTTATGCTGCCAATACCTTGGATTTATTTTTTTCGTTATAATATTAATTAAATCTTTCCAATATTTTTGTATGGCCGTATTTATTATTAAAAAAAAAGATTTTCTCGCAGCCAGACTGGGCAGCGGTCGCTTTGCTATTTCGGAGAATTCAAGTGGCCGCTTGCTCGTTTGTTTATTTTTTTTTAATTAATTGGATTACGTTACAGAAAATGAAACTGAGCGTGATAATCTGCGTATTGGCGGTCTGTGCTTTGTCACTGGCCGTAGAACATGGGCCACTGCTGACCGCATTACAGCCACGGGACCAGGCACAACCCACAGGTGTCATACTTAAAAGAGACAAGAGACATCTAGGACTTCTTGGTATGTTTTTTAATCTATACTAATATTATAATGAGGAAAGATTTGAATTTTTAGATTTTTGTATGTATTGAAATAACTCTAAAAGTATTAAGGCCGATTTTAAAAATTCTTTAACCGTTAGAAAGATAATTTATCTGTGAATAACATGGGCTATATTTTTTAATTTTACGCTAGCGAAGTCGCAAGCAACAGCTAGTTGTATATAAACCATAGATGATTACGGCCACCAGTGCTTTGAGGAAATTCTTGTTAACTCTTTGGAGGACATTATTTTGAGCTTTAATTTGTATTTATTAACTAACTAATAAAAGTAACATAATCGTGATTGCCTGTAAGTTGACCTTTGGATGAGGATGTTTGGAGAAATACATTTTTCATGTAAATAATTTGTAAATTTGCACATCACGCAACTCGTTATGATAATGTATGGTGGTCATTAGATAAAAGAGTTTGGTGCGGATATTTTAAAAATTTTAAAATGCCTTTTATTCTTGAAATATGTGCATAAAACTATTTTTTTGTACTCTTCATATTTTAAACACAACTAAACTAACATATTCTTGACTCAACCTTCAAATTATTTATTTCTTGTCCCAAATTCACATAAAATAAGCTGACATTTAAAATGATGTATATAAATAAAGTGATTTTAAAATTAAAACCTACATTTACATGTAAAGAGTTTTATTAAAAACGAAATTCTTGTTTTCTCTATCTTTTTTTAATGATAATTGTGAATATATACCTTATGTAATATTGATACGGATGTTCCCGTACATATTGAGATTTATTGGAAAATTTCACACCTTAAGCAGGCGCGTCATATTTGTTTTAACTAGATGACTTTACAATATACCCTTATACGATCATAAACCAAAGTAACATGATTAGTAACATTCTACATTTACAGCCTTACACATGTTTCAATTTTAGTAATCCTCGAAATGAATTAGAATGACGCATCAATTCAGATTGAACTTTGACAAGGTCTCTCAATCTTTGCGGTCCTGAGCCACCTCGGTTTACTCTAACGGTACACCTTTGACTAAACTATCGCACAACTGTCGTGCGATTGTCAGTTGTTTCGCAGCCCATTAAATTGTTTAGTTGCACAACTAAAAATCCAGTAATGTGCGCACCTCCATATTCATAGGAATCATAGCGCGACTACAGATGGGCGATTTAGTCAAATGTCAATGTCAAATTATTCATCGACTGCTCATTAAGGTTAAAATGTATTCCAGGTATTGGTGCTCTTGGGGCTGGAGTACTTGGTGCTGGTGCTCTTGGAGTTGGCGCTGGTATAATTGGCGCTAAAGCAGTCGGAGCTGGTCTCGTCGGTGGAGCGCTAGCGTCTGGCGCCCTCTACGGACACGGCAGAAGCTACGGCGGTTACGGAGGATACTACGGCGGCGGATACGGTGGTGGTTACGGTGGATACGGCGGATATGGTTACGGAGGATACGGCCGCGGATACGGGTAAATGAAATAAAATTGATACTATTACGATTGAGTAATCTTACTATTTAATAATGCGAAAGTTTAGATGGGTGGATGTTTATTTATGTTTGTTTGAGTTTGTAGTCTAAACTGCTGAACGGATCTCGATGAAATTTGACATAGATGTGGATAGTATGGAAGGAAACATAGACTACGTACTGTTTTTTTAGTTCCATGGGGACGGAGTCGCAGGCGAAAGCTTGTCATTTATGTTTATAAAAAGAGTAATCAATATTTCAAAGTATATGTCACAAATTTCCTTGTACTATAATTTCAGATCATACTACCCCTCTTCGGGATACTACGTTTCCGACCCATGGTGCTAAGTGGAACTCCTGACCTAAGTGTTATTATTATTTATAGACATTGTTGTGAATGTGTGTAAAAGTACTGAAAAAAATCCGACCGATATAATAAGTGTACAATAAAATAGTTTTCAATAAATGGCAGTTTCATTTAATAAAGTAATTACGAGTATAAAGAAGATAATTTACCTCGATAGCTTTATATTCAAAATTACATTTTACTGTAAAAATAAATGAAAAGTAGCAATTTAAATTATGTATTAAATATATAACATGTATTTTAATTAAAAAGTTCACTAGTTTACTTTTAGACTTTTTTGAAAATAATTATTTTAATTTGGTACAAACAGCGAGGTCTACTCGTTAATCGTAACACTGGCGTCGAATGCTGTCGATAATAAAAATAAATTGCACCGACAATTGCATTATTTCTCTGCTCGTAGATGTGTTTGTTGAACGAGACACTATTTTTATTACGTCGTATTCATGATTCATTCGATTGTACAGAATAATTACATTGATATAAATTAAACAATAAAATAAAGCTAAAAGTCCTTGATGAGGTTAAATTATGATTTAATCCCTATAAAGTCTGCTTAAAATACATAATACGGTAGTAACACACTACAGGCTAAGTTTTAATTTGAGTTTTTATTATGATATTACATTAATTCAGGTGAAACCAAGCATCTAGTTATAACCTTAAATATGATTATTAGTTGTGAGTAATATTCTAATACTCGCAAGTTTATATTCCACAAGCTCACTTTTAGCCAGACTTACGGTGTTATTTGCATGGGTTTATTGCAATTTTTCAGCGAACAGTATATTAAAAATGTGAAAATTTATAGTAGGTTAAAGACAGCAATAAAGAATGAAGAAAGACAAAGGTTAGCGTGGTATGGAATTGTTATGCGACGAGACGATTAGGACATAAACCAGAAAGTGTTAAGAATGAATGTGGATGGCTACAAAGGAGGAGGAAGACCGAAGAAAGTATGGATGGATTGTGTGAAAGAGGATGTGCTTGAGAAAGGAGTGGATTCAGATATGACAGCTAATAGAGATGTACAGAAGAGCAGCACATACTGTGTGGATAAGGGCAAGTTGATGATGTTAAAGACATGAATAACATTTTATAATTGTTTTCTAATAACCAAAACATTATTTGTAATGATCAATATAGTTATAATATTAATAAATTGTCTTTCCCTCAAGGCCCCAAATTGATATTAAACATATTAGGCTGATATCATTGTATTAAGTTATCAGGCCGTAGGGATCGCCCCGACAACTTATCCATTATGTAGAACAATATTAGAACTACTTAGAACAGCTTATGGAGATTACAGTCCTCGGGAACTTTGTATACGATGCACACTTGTGTTAATATTATCTCATATTATGCTTATGTTGGACAAATTTTCACTTTAAACACTGTAGTGCTTAGAGAATTATGGTAACATAACCTCAACTAAACATCATTCCACTGTTGCCTGGAGATAACTCGTATCATCTTTATCAAGGTGTGTGGGAGACATGAGTGACTAATTTTATAATCCAAGTGTGGCAGTTAATTTTTACACCTTAATTAATCTCACCAAGCTCTAATTATACAATATTTATGTAAACTTTATTGTAATTTTCAATTTGTGTTTCAATTCCAGTTTACTTAATACAATCATTTACAAAATCAACATGTTTGTTCTGATAACTTTACTCAGGTCTCTCTCTATTACATTAAATAATAGTTCAATATATTGTAATATATTTACTGGTATATTTATATAGTAAATAGCAATACTGCGTAAGTTATATTTGCACTGGGTGATCCCGTACCTGGAGCTCAAATTGCAAAAGTCAATACGTCGGCGCCTGTTTGTCCACGAAGGCAATTTATCGTTCCAGTCGCGGTTTGCTTACAAATTGCCTTCTATAAGGTAGGCGAAGGTAAAACCATTTTAAACTAAGGAATTCTCATTGGATTTGCTAGCCATTTTAAAATTATGAATTACAAAAAAATTACCACGTCTTAAGTTATATTTCTCTTATTATTATGAATGATAGCTATGCCTGTTATTATTTCCATATTTTACTTAGTTTAAATAACATTAAATTAGTATAATTATTCGTAAAATTAATCACATTTACCGTTTGATAACACCAATGGTTAAATACATTTGGTATGGTATTTATAAACTTGTACTCCTGGAATAACGTTTGTAAAAGAATTCATTAGGGAAACTTTCGATTTCAAGATTGCAAAAATGGAGATAACTGAAAAATAATATGCGTTCATGTTGTGCGTTGCGAATGTAAACAAAAGTGTACGTAAGGTAAGTGGTCGAGTGCAGTCGCGACTGAGGGCTTTTGAAATGAGAGCTCGCATTTGTACAAACGACTGTGTAAACTTGGAATGCAAAAATATTTATGTTTATGTTTACACGGAGAAAACTTCATGAGTTTGATTTTGAGAAATATGATACCTTTCGAAAGATCAGGAAAAACATTTTCTCTGCCACTCTCAGAGTTATTAAGGTCTCTTTTAGTGTACATTAAAACGCCGGTAGAGCATCTTACAGAATTTATTATTTTTAAATGTATAACTTATTAGTTGTAAAGAGGAAAGATTTGTATCTTTAGATTTTTGTATGTATTGAAACGACTCAAAAACTACTGGGTCAATTTCAAAAATTCTGTCAGCATTAGAAAGGTAATTTATCTGTGAATAACATAGGCTATATCTATTAATATTTTTTTAATTTCATGAGGACAAAGTCGCGAGTAACAGCTAGTAAAAAAACATAATTATATATAATGCCGCGAAGTGATTGTTAATTTTTTGAACGATTAACGTTATAAATAATAATTTTGAGTCCTGGTATCATTTGAAATTGTTTTGAGTTGTTATTATAATTTGAATTTTTGAGCGGGCAACCGCGGATAGATGTCAGTTGTCATTAAAGGGGCGGGTGATGCACTGTGGTTATGTGCATGTATGAATTTACTTGGTGAATCTCTGTAAATCTTTGCAATCCGGTTATATAGTGTCGTGCAGTTTTCATTACCGTTTAAAGGAGTGTGTTTCTGATATTACGCGATTCTTATTTCATTATTTCCGACATATGCACGCCCACGATCTACCTTCGGAATAAAATTCTGCAAGCCGTTCATCACTTCGACGTGTAATGTACACGTTTCTTAACATTGAAGCAGCATTATTAATTTTCAAAAGTAGCTTTTTGACAAAGTGAAATTATGAAAATGTTGTGAAAATGAAAACAACAAAATGTATCTAAAAGAAATTCTTAATCTTAATGATTTGTCCATTGAAATTTTTGGAATAAAAGCCAGCTGAATATTTGAGCATTAAGGAAAATTTTCCTCTGAAATTTCTTCAAATCAACAAGATTGCGAGATTTTATAGCTTTGTTTTGAAATGTTAATATTTTATTATAGAACAATTTACATTTTACTAACAAACTGTCAAAGTGTCAAGTAACTTTGTGCAAAATTATAAAAGACTTTTTGGTGTCTGTAATAATTAAAAATAGAACATGGTAAAAGAACGTGTACAGAAAACTTTAAAACTACTTCGGGTTTAATATTTCAACGATTAGTCATAAAAACAATAATTGAAAATTTATTTGGTCGCGTTCTGCCTTCGAACCGGACTGCGGTAAAATTTTACCTTAATTACTGTATCTAAAGGAAATACATAACTGTCGTTAGTGATTTTATTGACGACTATTAATATTAAAAAAGTGTATCAGAAACCTGTGTAAAGCAGACAAATACAGCTTACTGATGTCAAGGTGTCAGATTGGAAGGCACTTATTATTTTGCACGTGAGTATGACTGATTTTTTGAATTTAAACAGAACAGTTTCATTTTTCAGAATCTGATGATAATTGTTCAAATCTCGTTATTCACTTTGTATTTCGACTTAAGTACTTGATGATAATATACAGCGCTGCCCTAAGGTCGTCGTCGAGGTAAGATACCTCGAAAAAAGAAATCATCTAATTTACAGAAGATATGTCTTTAAAAGGTAAGATAAAAGTTTTACAGTCGTTATAATTTATGGCTATTAACTTGAGTATGACGTTAGTAGTTATAGCTTTAAAAAAAGCACGATTTAACAATGTCTGGTTTGAACTTTCACTTTGGGTTAGTGATAAATTGTTAAACTCCGGAGGCCTAATTTTAGTTCCTTTCCCTTTCCACCCTTTTCTTAAGAGGAAGAGATGGGAAGGAAAAGTGGATTTGACATTGGAGGGGACGCATAGGAAAGGGAAATGTCCTTTTTATGTGCGTCTTCTCCTCCGTTTAAGGGTAGGCAATGCATCTGCAATTGCGGATGTTTATGGTCAGCGGTCGCTTTCCATTTCGGTGGATTCGAGTGGCCGCTTGCTTGTTTGCCACCTTATATCATAAAAAAAATCTAACTTGACCTGTATTTAGTCATTTTAAATTGTACCGAATTTATGGTCGTATTTCATAACAAAATATCCCGATAGGTATGAAAAAGTTTAATAAAACTGTTTACTGAAATCATAGTCAATTTATGTCACCACTGATTTTAAATCCTATAGACAACGAAAAGAGTTATTATTGAGATTTTCACTTTATATTGGACAAAAACTGCACATATTCGGTATGAGGAATTAAAAACTAAATAGGGCATTTGGCACCGTATCAAGTAAATATGAATTAATCATCTCAGAGAAATGGATACAGCGGCGTCTTGCTGACGTTGGAACAGTTAACAATGGCCTGTCGTGATGCTGAGGGCATCAATCATCTCTCTTTGCCACTTTTACTATTCTATATTTATTCTAATGCACAATGTTTCCGATTTAGAAAATGATGCGATCATAGTAAGGAGTATAATGTATAGGTTTTCTTTGCGACTTTGTCTGTCTGAACAAAAAAGTTATAACTTGATAATTAACATAATATGCCGAAAGATAAAAGTAATATAATTATGGAAGAAGAAATTAAATCTTTGAAAGTCTTTATTGTTCTGCTGACAATTGAAAGTCGGAAGAAGGCCAAGTAATTGTTCCTCAAGTTGAGGTACAACAGAATAGGTTTGTTTAAAGAAAGCTATTGTATCGAACTTTTGTTGTAGATTTT